CTCGACTTTTGAACTCGAAGAGCTCAAAACATATAGCAGTTCTATCTTAGAGCTAGGACAACTCAAAAATGTAAAATTGTGTTTTTAAGCTCAAAGAGTTTTATTAATTTTTGTTTTTTTTTTTTTTTTTTTTTAAATAAGCAGAAAAATTTTTGAACCAAGAAGTTCTTCTTGGTATTAGTAAATTTCCCTTGGATAAAGATTTTTTTTCTTCAATGAAACAAATTTTCTTATCAGTGTATAAATTAAGAATCGTTTATAATATATGGATGATAATGACAAAATAAGTTCATAATTAAAAAGTAATTTACCGGCTATGTATATTACAATTTGATTGAATATTTATATACAGCACATATACATACATATGTGATGTGCTTGGTTTTTTTTTTATCATATAATCGATTTAAACGATCAGTGTCGGTATAGTACCAGGCTAATGTTTATATGGGTTGTACCCATACTAATACTCATAGCCATAGCCGTAGCCATAGGTATTTTATAGTTCTATATACAGCTATATACTCTTATCGACTGGAGCCCAGCCAAGTTGGCTGATTGGAGAGTCGTCGTGGTGTGTGCACATATCGCGTGCCCGACAGATCTTGGACACTCATGACCATCGGTTTTTCTCACTCATCGTATATAAACCTATATCTATATCTATTATATCTATACACTGAACCCATACTCTAATCTGGCAGGAGACTAGCAGAGAAGAGTGCAGAGTATAAAATCAAGCTACACTGCTATTATGGTGCACATATATAGAAGGACGCTGACATCAGCATGATAGTCATCATACCTTCTGTAGTTAGCGATTTGGAACAGTTGCTCCGGCTCATTTTACTTCATTTTTTACCCAACTTTATATTATAGATTTTTTTTTGTTCCATGGTATACTTTGATTTTGTTTTACGTATGCACAAATTTTGACAATACTGATGACTGTAATTGACAAAATTACGGTTATTAGTCACTGGTATTTTTCTATCTAAATTATGGAGGTAGTAAGGGTACTCCGGCTGAAAAAAAACACTTAATTTAGAAAGTGAAGATGTGGTATAGACGCCATTGTGACAAAATTTAAATATTCGTCAATGAGCCAGTATATCATTTTTTGAAAAAGTTAGAGGACAAAAAATTATCAAACTTGGCAAAGATGCTCAGATAATCATTTTTAACTTCCTGATAAGAAAAATTGAAAATTTTTCAAAATTCGGGAAATTATTGGTTTTACCCCGTTTTTCGAAAATCGAGTTTTCATCAGATCTGGACGTTTTGAGGTCTTAGGAAGCTTCCCTGACTATTCCCGCCATGGTGTGTGTGTGTGTGTGTGTGTGTGTGTGTGTGTGTGTGTGTGTGTGTTTTTTTTTTGAGCGGCTCCACCGATCGAATCGAAATAGGTAGCGATCCAAAGAATATCATTGCTATTAAATTAAAATTAAAATTAAAATTAAATTTTCAAAAAATCGTTTTTTTGGAATAATTTCTAAATGGCTCCACCGATCAATTCCAAAAACTAATTTGCTCTTAAATTTGAAAAACCATGTGTGTGTGTGTGTGTGTGTGTGTGTGTGTGTGTGTAAACCTCTCATAACTTTTGAACGGCTTGACCGATTTCATCGCAGTTGGTGCCATTCGAAAGAGATTGACCAAACTTGGATTTTGAATTCAATTTGGACCGATTCGGACCAGTAGGTTTTGAGAAATCTCAAAAAAATTTGAAAAAAAAATTTCTTCAAATGTGGTTTTTTTGGAATAACTTTCAAACAGCTTTACCAATCGATTCCAAAAACTAATCAGCTCTTAACATCAATAAACCACGTCTATTGCCATCAAGCTGATCAAAATCGGTTGATTCGTTCGTGAGTTAACGTTGACGAAAAAAATCGAAAAAAAAGTGATTTTTTCGAATTACACCGCAATTTCTGGTCTGATCAATTTATGTTTATAATTATATAATAGAATTTGATAAACTGCGTCGAATGCTGCCAACCGCGTGAAAATCGGTTAATTCATTCAGAATTTATTGCGGTTTGAAAATTTAAAAAATAGTGTTTTATTAAACTCCTATTATACTTTTGACCTCGAAGTGCTCAAAAACGTCATACGTGCGATTTTAAGCGGTTATATATGGAATTAGCGGGAAGTTGCAGGGATGACCTTTAGGGTCAACCGTGTTCCTAATTTTTTTTTTTGTATTCTTTCTGTCACTTTTGAACTAAAGAATTAAAAAGATGAAATAATTAAATAATAAGGCAAATATCCTAACAATAGTGACAACATTCTCTCTAAAGAATATTTATAGAAGAAAACAATGCAAATAGTATAAGTGTTGGCCGAGGCGAAGCCGAGGTCAACAAACATGTGATCTGAGGCTTTCTTATTTACTTCCCGAGGAGTGTATGCTATTTTTTTGCTCGACGAAGGCAGAAAGTGGCAATTTCGTTTAGCGCAGCGGGAAATTTGTCGAGCAAAAAAGATATACTAATCTAAGCTCAGTTCAGCTAAGAACTTAGTAAATTTGAATGAGCCTAAATACTGAAAAAACTATCTAAAATATGGATTATTCATTTAAAAATAAAGTTTATTGAATTTTGAACAACAATTGATCAAAATGGCCAATTGATTAATGAAAAAAAAAATATATATATTATACTGATAAAAAGGTCACGTGTGAATTATTGTAAATCTATCGATCATGTGGCATCACGAATTAGGAGGATATTCGAAAAATACCTGGAATAATAAAAGCTCGCGTGTGAAGGCGACCAAGCTTCTCTACGTGATATGAATCAACAATGAAATGCGTTTATAGATAGGTATGTGTATGTATACACGTAATTCGAAAAAAAGTTTACTCGCACCTCTAAAACAATAAGTAGTATTTAGTAAAAATTAAATAATAGTTTTTCAATTAAAGTGAGCTTACGTTAGTCTAGAAGATGTTGAAGCAAAATTAATTGTTTAACTATTTTCTTCGACAGAGAGTTAAATTCGAGTATTGAAGACTTTAAGTGAGTTCCACGAACTTCAATTTAAAATAATTCAATACCGTTTTCACTCTGTTTTTTAACTTATAATGATCTTCAACTTACTGTCAACGAACTAAACATTTTTTATTTCGATTTAATTTTAATAAAGATTACGTATTTTTTTCGCCATTGATTCCTGAAGTCAAAGTTAATGAAAATTTTATAATATTAAAACTTTTCCGGATTTGGTTTTTTTTATAGAGTAATTTTAAACCTTTGGGATCGATTAATTACAAAATTTGATCCAGTCGAGTATTTCGTTAATTGAAGAGATTACTAAAAAAAAACTACCCAGCTATAAAAAAAAAAACTAAATAGCTCAAGGCGAAATGACCATGTAAAATAAAATTGTATCTAGAACAAGCTGAGTGTTTAAAATGTTTAATAAATTATTTTATACAAAAAAATCTAAAGTGGTTGAATGATCCTGCAGGCTCGCCTCAAAACTTTCTGGTTCGTTTTATCTCAAAAACATTATTGTCCATTAGGGTGCTAAAAAAAATAACTTTTTTTTTAAGTTACCTCAGAATTTCGGGGCTACTGAATGCGAAGTTTAATCTCAGTTAATTTAGTTCTTACTGTTAATTTCTATTTCATTTATTCTACTTAAAAAATACTAAAAAAAAAAAAGTGAGAAAATAAAAACATTTTTTGTTTTTTTCTTAATACGTATTGAATTATAAATAACCATTCTTGCGGTGATGGACTGATATCATAAAAACTAAAATTATAATACGATGCACAGCACCATTAAAAAAAAGTTTTTGGTAAAATTGAGACATTTTCTCAGGAATAATATATAAACCTGAAGTATAAAATTTTAAAAGGCTATTAAAGTGACGAGAAGTTGATGAAAAAGTTTTATTTCAAGTTTAACTTTCATTCTTAATTTGATGCTTAAGTTTTTTCCGGGATTTTTTTTTTTATTTATAAAATTGAGCCATCTCGTGCAGTGTAAAAGGAGTCAGAGCTATACAATTGCTTTATAAAATAATTTTACATCGTTTTAAAAGTAAGCTTTCTTAAAAAGTTTTAATTCATTTTCTATTTTAAATTAAACTATATCAACTTTTGCTGACTTTAATTACTCTATTGTATAAGTCTAACTTTGCACAATGAATATAAATAAGTTGTATTTATTTACTTTAATTCATATTTACTTTTTTTCGCCATTTTCAAAAGAATTTAATTATTTATTCACAATAGAGAGTCTAATGATAAAAAAATAATTCCATTTAATTTTTTTTTCATCTTATTTTTAAAAATTAAATTTCCTTTCAAGTCAAGTATTGTCAATACTAAAGCTGCAATCAAGCGCCATCTAGTGACCACAACAAAATACTTTTTAGCGCCAAAGACCAGCTAGTCGGTAATAAAAGTTTTTAATCCAGGATCTTACAATTATTTTTTTTTATGTCAGTTAAAACTTGATTAAAAAATCAATAATTAGTGATCAAAATATATTTATATTTAATGAATGATTTACATTATTAAGAATACTTATTTCATATTTCATTCTAAGAATATAATTTCAATTTTCTTATCTATATAATGCGTAAGGCACTGGCATTAGTTTTAATTAAATAATAATCATAACAATAGGTTAATTATTATAATCACTCCTCGATAAATTAAATACAAGTATCTTTCAACATGTTAATGAAAATACTCTTTGGGAAAAAATACAAAATAGGACGGAAAAAAAAAAAAAAAAATGAATTATATTTAATTTATGAAGGAAGACTTTTTTTTCCATAAATTATTTATAATTGATTAATAATAATGAGGATTTTTTAAAAATTGTAACACAATCAATCTATAAACCAATAGATCAGATTAATAAAATTTTTACAAACTAATTTCAAAAAATAAAAAAAATTTATTTTTGTTTTATAAAAATATCAATTAAACTGCGGTAATCGGAAGATTTGATTAAGTTTTAAAATTTATTTCTTATAAGTATTATAATAAACGGCGGTTATTCGAGTAGGGATTTTGTAATATCCGCGGTGAAGTTTCAATAACTCGGAGTAAAAGGGAGTCGATGTAATCTTCGAGATCAGCTAGTCGTCGTTTTTTATCATTAACTTCTGTTTGCAATTGTAAAGCCATTTCAATGAGATCCTGAAAAATAAAACAAAGATTTATATAAATCTGAAATAATTCCCGACAATGATAATGACGATGATGATGATGATGATAATGATAGTTGTGTATTATTACCTCACGTGTTTTACCGTCAAACTGTGCAAGAACCTCATGAGGAAGTCGGCTTTTTACTCCCATATTATTTTTAGTAGCATCTTCACCGCCAATAATAATTCTCTCAGAAGATAATTTAACTTCCTCATTGATATCTTTACCCTTAAGTAATTCTTTCTCTCTATTCTTTTTATCTTTCTTAGATATTTTATCATCCTTTTGACTTTTATTGCCCGCTTTATCGTCCTTAACATTAGGACTACGATCTCTACCACCGCCAATACTTCCACTAATCAACTGTTTTTCTTCTTTCGAATTACGATCTTTCATACTTATTTTATCGTCTTTATTAGTACGTTTAACTTGAATTATTTCACGTGGCGCAGGGCTTGGTGGTTCTGGAGTATCACGAAATCTCATTGTTGTCGTAGCTGTTGATGGCGATAAATTTACTGATGATGTCGTCAATTCACGATTATCTTTCGCTTGATCTATTACTATTTTAGGAGTTAATTTATTATCCCATTTTTTATTACTTATATTCGACGATTGTAATCCATAAAGTTTTCGACCCCATTCATCTTGTTCGGCTTCATTATTGTTATTATTAATATTATTATTATTATTATTGTTGATGTTATTATTGTTACCAGTAAGATTATTTGAAGATAATGATGAGTTTAAATTAGAGCCCGTGCTAAAACGAGGCGGTTTATTGGGAGCTGGATTTGTGGGTGTTGATAATATGTTCAAATCCGTTGTTCGTGAACTTTGCGTTGTTGAATTGCTGGAATAACCAGACGTTAAGCCACTTGATACTGGAGCATTGAGTGATGAAGCTGAACTTTTGTGTGATAAATCATCAAACTGGAAAATAAAATTTACGTATGATTTTATCCGTACCTTCAACATAAAAATTTTTTTAAAAGCTTCGATCTTCAACACTACTGAACTTTCCCATGTCAGACACCATAAAACGGTTGAACGGCTTGACCGATCAAAACGGGGTTCACAAAATTCAAAAGAGTTTGCCATTAGATTTCATGTGAGTTTGAATTAATTTAGCTTAGTAGATTGTAAGTAATCTCAAAAAGAAAATTTTCAAAGAAATGTTTTTTTTTGCAATAACTTCTAAACTAGTGTATCGATCGATTTCCAAATTTAATCAGCTTTAAACCACAAATAACAATATGAATAATCGCGAACCGCATCAAAATTGGTTTATTCGTTCAAGAGATATCGTAGTCAAAAAATTTGGAAAAAAGTTTTTTCTTCAAATAACTTCAAAATTTGTCTGTCATCTGATCATTTTCAATTTAATAAGTTAACTCGGCTGCCCAATTTTAAAACACAGTAACTAACATTTAGAAATTTTTTTAAATTTTTCTTATCAAAAAAAAGTTTGCCTGCCAAATTGATGAAAAATTTGATTTATGAATAGAAAATACTTGAATATAAATATTTTTAAGAAAAAATACTTGCAATTAAGGTCTAAAAGTTATAAAAAATGCAGCAATATTAAAAAAAATTAAGTATAAAAATTTTGCAGTTACTGTGTTTTAAAATTGGGCAGCCGAACTGTTACTGCTTAAAAAACTGCATCCAACGGCGTCAAGTTTCTCACAATCAAATTAAAAAAAAGTGATTTTTAATATAATTTTCACATTCCTTTTTAGACCGAATTTTTTTCTGAGAATTTTAGTTAAGCTATCTGCACCCCGCTAAATTTTGGAGCTTGGAGAGCTCAAAATAGCTAGCGTTACTAATGGCAAAAAGGCGTACAAAAAATTTTTTTCTTACAATCAACCTAAAAATGTTTATAACATTCAAATCTGTAAGAAAAGTGAAGAAAAAAATTTTTTTTGTATACACCCTTTTGGCTCTAAGACAAAAAAATTTTAAAGCCAAAGGGGCGTATCATTTTTTTTTAATCATAATTAATTATTAGCCTTAAAAAAAAAAAGTTATAACACCGGTAAAAATAATGACTTTTCAACTCATTTTATTTGAAAAGAAGATGGATTTGAATTAAAAAAAAGAAAAAAAAACAGAATAACAGTAACATTCTATTTGAAGAAAAATGTATTTGACTCAATTCCAAAGTTTTCATCTCAATTCATTTTTGTACGTCAGGCACAGTTCCAAAAAAATACCATCGATATTACAAAAATCTGTGCTTTAATGATGGTAACAACTCATAAATTTGTTTTAAGAGTAAAGTATTTTTTCAAAATTTAGATTTACAAGCAATAAATATTTATTATTTTGTACTTTAAAAAGCAAAAGATAATGATAGTGGAGACGGCATCGGAGTAGTGCCTAGCTAAATTGATATTTTAGTTTCTTCATTAATCAAATACATATTCTCTTCAAAGAAAATGAGTAGAAGTCATTAATTATGATGAAAAAAAAATGATACGCCCTTTTGGCTTTAGAATTTTTTTTATCTTAGAGCCAAAAGGGCGTATACAAAAAAAAAAATTTTATTCACTTTTCTATAGATCTATGTTATAAACATTTTTAAGTTAGTTGGAGTGAAAAAAAAATTTTTTTATACGCCCTTTTGGCATTAGTAACGCGAGGTGTAAAACTGTTTTTTTTTTTTTTATTTTATTTAGATTCTAAATATTTTTAGAAGAAAATTGAAAATTCTCAAACAAAAAAAAATAAGTATTGCCTAAAAAATTTCCACTGAAAAACTTTTTTTTTTTTAAATCATCATAGTATTTTTAAATCCGAAAGACGCCATTGAATTTTTTTCAACAAATTTTAAATCCAAGTACTATAATTTACAATTAAAAAAAAATATTTCTCAAAACATTAAATGAATGCTCACTGGAGTGACATGAACGAGTTTTGAAAAGTAAGCAAATGAAAGTTAAAATAAAAAAAACAACAAACCGTAAATTCATCATCATCTTCACTAATAACACCAGGATCAGCTTCACCAGGTTCCTGCCTAGTCGGCCTAATTTGATGTTCCTCAACTTCATCAAACTCATGTTCATGGTCCAATTTATTTTTACTCTTGCCTTTAACACGATTCCCGATGGATTTAGCTAATTTTTTCAAGCCCTTGCGTTTCTCCAAACTACCAATACTTAAAAGACTGCCGCCAATCGAGTGAGCTGCCGTTGACAACTGACCCAGTGAACTTTTATGACGTTCTTTACGCGTTAAATCGGTAAGGCTGCCGGCTTTAACAATAAAACCTATTTTAACTTCAAGCTCACCGCGTTCTTTTGTATTTTCTTTTCCGGGTTTACTACCAAGGCTATACCTGTTGACATTAAAGAGAGTTTAATCAGTATTGTATTTTTTTTTTTTTATTTTCGAAAAACCTGTCTTATCAGCATGACAATAAAGTTAGCAGACGTCTAAAAATTTTTGATTTATTTTTATTAATTAAATTACAACTAAAAAGATATTTATAAAAAATTGCACTTATAGTTTTTCGAATTTTTTACATGTGAAATTTTTTTTTTTAATTGTTTAATTGAAATTTAAAAAAAAATTTTTTAATGTCGGCTAACTTTATTTTCATCTTATCAGCTATGATAAATGATAAGACATTTTTTTGTTTTTGTAGCTATTTACTAATTAGTAATTACCATCTGTTTCTCGGTCTTTCGTAAACATCGAAACTCGATAATGGAACGGTGACCATTCCTAAGAACTCGTCGACGCCCAGGAAGTTACGATGAAGAGCAGTGAGGACAATTTCCGCCGTATTGCCCTGTGAAGGAATCTGGAGTTCGCATTCCTCGTGCCACTCAACATTCTCGCTGGCCTTCTCTTTAACTGACGTTTGATATTTCTCCTTGCCAAGTCCGATTGTCACGAAGCAGTCGTTAGTCTCTGATGAAAATAAAGTAGGCGTTGAATCAAAAAGGTCAAATTACAGAGTTCACTATTTAAACCTTTTCGTAATTTATATGTCATAGAAAAATTTTGGGTCATAATATAAGTTCATATAATAATTTATCATCTCAATCTTTATCGCTTATCCAATTACTTTTTATTTGAAACTTTTTTTCTATCATGAATAAATAAATTGCTAATTATAATTATATTAACATAAAATTTTGCACGAGATTCACGTCTTTCAAACAAACCTTCAGTATAAATTTTATTGTAAATTATTCGCTATAATTTAATTAACATTATTTTTAACAAACATACTGAATTATTTATTTATTTATTTTTTTAATAATCGAGTCACGAATTTCTTGCTAATTTTTTTATTAATTAACTCCTTATTTTTTAGAGGGTGATTTTTTAACATTTTTATGTAGCAATAGTCCAATTATAATAAATTATTTGAATGATTCAAACGAAAATATTATATCTCTATTAGATATTAATGATATTAAATGGTTTCTTAAAGTGATAATAAATTTTGTAATAATTGCTTTTTTCGTACAAAGATGGAAGATTCTCTAAAATGGAATTAGACAATTTATTAATTAGAACGTCGTTATATTATTACTGCCAAATTAATATAAAAATAATTAGTCAATAGATGAATTTTATTTCAACAATTATCCAGAATAATTTTCGTAAATAAATATAACAATAAAAAACTATTTTTTTTTTAAACAATTAAGTAAACAATAACTGTTTAAATTATTAATCATATTTACGTAATGTACATTGTATAATAAACAAATGAAAATAATCAAATGTAAATAAACGTCCATGTGTTGTATGCAAATTGTAGAGTCTTAACAATTTAATACCACGCCTTTATTTACGGGCATTCTTTTGCGCGAGCTCATCATCACCATCACCATCGTCACCACTACAACACTTGCGGTCGTATCAGTATATATATTTGATGATGAAGATTATGTACAGTTTCCCATACAGTGGTTTTAAAACATTCTTCATACGAATTACCTTCATTATAACAGTATCTCTCTCATAAAGTTTAACATAATTCAAATGAATTTATTATTATATGCATGCAGTATAATAGTAAATTTGAATGAATGCATAAAAAACTCACTATGTTTTCCTTTTGTTAACAATCCTCGTGCCCTTTGAACTGAAACACAAAAAAAATTTTATTTAGTATATTATTTATTGACACAAGTCATAAATATATAATTTATAAGACCATTTAATTATTTAATTTAATTGTTATAAAACAAAACATGCGTGCACTTAAGTGCAACATCCTGTCACTGATCTCACGCATTCTGGAGTCGTCAAACAAGTCAAGTAGCCGGTTGTAAATGTAGCATTTCTGGTCACTATTATTTTATTTTTTATTTTAAATTACAATTAAAATCAATTGCACCGTATTTTAAATTAATGTATAAATAATTAACATGTACATTGATTTGAAAAAAAATAAAATTAATTATTCAAATTAATAATTAAAAAAAAATATACTTAATCGTTTGAGAATTTATTTCACGGACTACGGAGCAGAGGGAATAGAATAGAAGAAAAAGTCTTGTATGGATGAGAAGCTAAGGGAAAGGCTGAATATGTACGGGTGTTTTATTTGTACGTGACTGGACGTTGATGTACATCTTTCTAAACAGTAACAGTATAATAATACAACCCAGGTATCCAAGGTATGTTAAAATTGTTTTCTTTGAGATTTTCTCGTCTGCTTCGTCCCCACATTAAACATTCATTTATTGTTTTTTTTTTTTACCCCATCTTTTTTATAATCAATTTAAGTTATCTGCGACAGTTGTACAGAACGGCTGCCCAATTTTAAAACACAGTTACTGCAAAATTTTTATACCTGATTTTTTTTAGTATTGCAGCATTTTTTATAACTTTTAGACCTTAATTTCAAATGACACTGAAGTTACCAGACGTCTAAAAATTTTTGATTTTTTTTTAAGTTTTTAACATATGATATTTTTTTTTTTAAATGTTTAAAAATTTCAAGCATTTTTTCTATTCATAAATCAAATTTTTTATCAATTTGGCGCGCAAACTTTTTTTTAATAAGAAAAATTTTTTTAAATCTTAAAATTGTCAGTTACTGCGTTTTGAAATTGGGCAGTCGAGAAGCTTCTATACGTTTTTGTTAAAAAAATAAAAATTGAATTTTTTTTTTAATTATTTGTATAATCATCATTTTAAATAATAATTTATCAATGAATTATAAATACATAAATACAATTTTTATTTATAATTTAATAACATGATATCACGCTCGAATGCAGGGAAATCGCGATCCAATTTCTCAAAACATCACGTGTTTTCACAGTAATTCTATCAGTTTCTTTAACAAAATTTTTTCTCTTCTCATTAATCAATTATTCAATTATAAATTCATATAATACATCAAGTAGATATTTAATTAAATAAAAATAAATAGTTAATAATTTTCTATATTTTTGTGAAAAAATTATTTATGAATAAAACAAAAAAGATAATTTTAAATAATTTAAACTGTAAAATAATTGAATTTTATCGGTGTCACATGTAATGTAACGGTTTTAAAACCAAGACATCATTATTATCATCAACAGCTGAGAAAGTGGAGTTGGCAGTTAGACTGGCTTTACAAATACCTTGATTAACTGGAATTTTGCATGGTTTCACTGGATCCATATAAATGCAGACTAGTTAAATAAAAGTACACGCTCACTAAAAATACGATAATTATTTAAAGTAAAATAATATTAATTGTATGCAATTAATATTTTTAATAATCGTGTGAATATTCAAAGTGTTAGAATGAATATAGTGGCCTTGTGAACGGTACATTGACTTATTTGACCCAGCTACCTACTTTTTTTTATAAATAAACAACATTTACACATTTTTCCCTAATTTTAAATATTTTTTTTTTTATGAAAATCAAGTTAGCTGACATTTCAAAATTTTTAGAAATTTTTTATTGAAAAAATTTCAATTAAACAATTAAAAAAAAAATTGTCACATGTAAAAAACTTGAAAAACTATAAGTGCAATTTTTTATAAATATCTTTTTAGTTGTAATTTAATTAATAAAAAAAATCAAAAATTTTTACACGTCTTCTAACTTCAGTCTCATTTTTTTTTTTTTACCTAAAAATAAAAATTTTTAAATTAGTTTGCGTAAAAAGAGAAAATTTATAATTGTAGTTACAAGTAAAGACAATAATAAACATGATTGTTATAAATATACATACCTGTTACCTGGACGTGTGTTGGACTCCACATGTTGCTCTACCACAATCTCAGTAAATGTCAAATACGTCAGAGTAACATTGGATAGGTAGTGTGTATTATTATAAAACTATAATCGTTTGGTTGTTTAGCTCTCCACTCTACTCGTAAATACAAGCTGTTGTTGGAGATGACGAATCACCTGGACGACTCACTAGACGTCAGTTAATTTATAATTCACCATTATTATAATCCGAGATTACAAATCCTTTGTTGGTAAACACAATGCTTTTTTTAAAAATTATTATTATTGTTATAATTATTATTAAATCTGTAAATTTATTATTAAAGTTTAAAGTTTAAAGTTTTATGGTTTATTGGAATTAATACGTTATTGTTTTCGTACTCCGTAATGTTCAGTTGGTCGCGGATAACTATCCGAACATTGCCTCTTACTATATTTTACCGTCACACAAATTCTGCGCAGTTTCTTTGCGCACACTCATACGCGCAGGGCCGTAAAAGCAAGATTTAAAACCCCGCGGTTTTTTTATTCGAATTTTTTTAACTTGACTGCTAATTACTATTGCGGTTATTTATTTTTATTATTTTATTGATAAATAAACCTTGGAGATTATTTATTTTTTTTTTTTTAATAATATATTTAACTTATAACTTAACATTATAAATAACAGTCAAGGATATTCTTTTATTTTTATCAAATTTATTGAATGATTAACAGAAATTTTGTTTAATCTTTCAAAAGTTTGACTCCACTTAGATAATTAAAAACCTTTGGGAATTTTTAGAACGAAAAAAAATAGAGGCGTAATAAAAAAATAAATAAAATAATGACTGTGCTATTAAATAAAAATGAGATCATCGTTTTTAATGGTTAAAATTTGACGCTTATTAGACAATTATTAACCGATAGATAATAGAAATAACATTAATCATTAACTTTAATATCATTCTACAAACTAATCTATAATAAAATATAATTCGGTTACATTCTCATTATTTTTGACACACAAATACTGTTTTCAATTATTTTGATTAATCCGATTTTTATAATATTAAATTCATGAATATAATATTGTTAAAAAAATATTTTCATTCTTATAAGATGAAGTATAGTCGTAATTTGCTGACGCAGATTATATTTCTTTTTTGATAGCGGTTTCTGACATTTGTCGTTTTACTGCAAATGTTATCGATACCATCACTCTTTAATTTATGTATTAATGAAGGAATTATTTCCTCTGAGTAAATACTTACCTAGTGTGAAAATAAATTTGTAACATTTTTTTTTTAATTTCGAATAAATAAGCTTTTAAGGGGGATGGTCACTGTGAAATTAAAAAAAAAAAATTCTTTTATTTTTTAAAAAATCCAAGTTTATAGATTCAAAAATATGTATCTAGAGTTTGGTATCAAAATTCCGAATATTTTATGAAAATTAAGTTAGCCGACATCTAAAAATTTTTGATTTGTTTTTTAAATTAAATTACATCTAAAAAAAGATTTATAAAAAATTGCACTTGTCGTTTTTCAAGTTTTTTACATGTGAAATTTTTTTTTTAATAGTTTAATTGGAATTTTTTCAATAAAAAAAATTTCTAAAAATTTTTTAATGTCGGCTAACTTAATTTTCATAATATTTTCCGAGTTATAGTCATTTTTGTGACAGCGCGTCAAATGACTTTACACGCGCGGCACTCCGATACGAAGAAAACGCGTTTTTCTCGAAACTACTTTTTTTCAACTGATGAGAACTGTAATTTGCATAAATATGAACCGATTTGCAACTTTTGTTTTCCCCGTATTCGTCTATTCAGTAGCTATAGTTGCACGTAGGGGATTTTGGAAATTTTGATTTTTAAGATTTTTTAGAGCTGTTTGAATCCAAAAAAAAAAAGAGGAAAAAATTTTTAATGTCGCCATTTTTTTTTAAATCTAAATTTTCAAAATCCCCTACGTAACGATAACCACATGCATGCAGATTACAACGATGTTTCGTTTTTCCGTTCTAGATAATCTGTTTTTGAGTTAGAGATCGCATCATGGAGGGGGAAATTTTTTTGGTACCCCACAAAAATGCTAATAAACTTTGTAACAACATGATATTTTTGGATAAAAATTTAGGAGAATAATCTGCAATGTATACTTTATAAAACAAAAAAAAACCCGATCCCCGAATTCCTTTATTGTCCCAGTCAAAAAAATTCCCGAAAATCACCTATTTTTTCGATCCTCACAGTGGCCATCCCCCTTAATTTTAAATGATTCAGTTTAAATTAAAAGATTCAGATATTTTAATAAATTCAATTTATAATCTAAAAAAATTTAATTATTTTCATGTAAAATTTCAATAATATCCTAAAATTTTCCAACCTGTATTTCAATATCATAATTTTTACTATTTTATTATTTTTCAAAATTTAATTTTTAATTGACACTAATTTTTTAAATCAATTTTAATTTTTAAAAATATAATTATTTGAGAAAAGTGTTTTTAAATTTATGTTATATTTGTCCTACCTTTGATGTAGACAATTATTATTGTCACCAATGCAATAATATGAAAAGTTAATTGTTTGTACAAAGGATAATTAAAAGATTTGTCATAATTCATGAGTATTATCATTATCATAGATGATTCATAAAGATACTTTGTGAATACAAACAGGGTGTGATGATAATGATTTTCACAATTAATTATCGTACAATAAAGATACACGCTGAACATTATATACACTTATTTATTAATTTCACTTTCTTCGAGTAAGTAAATGCAATAACTTTTGCTTGTTGTCTCTGTACTTTTACTTAAGAATTTGGGACACTCCTTACGTCAGTTAGGCTGAAATGGGTAGTTATATGTGATGAAATGTGAATAATAAATTAATTCATAAGCTTGAAAATATGATGAATTTTTTACACATGAAAAAATTAATCATTGTAATCAATGTTCATCGTGTTAAAAATAGAATGAATTAATGAAATTTTTTCAGGAATTTGTCGGCAGAATATTTCGATGGCTTTTTTTTTAGCGTGCTGTATGTCCTGATTGCTCGAATAAAAAAAGCACATTCATCAGAAATTTCTGTCTGATATATTTTTGCCTACTCATCGTGATAGCGCATGTAATTTTTTATCGTATCGTATAAAAATTGTTACTCTTGTTCATTCGATTATGATACCTTGATCGAGGATAAGGATTAGATGATTAATTTGTGTTGAGAGGTAATTGTTATTCAATACTCAAAATCAGATTTTTTTTACTTCTTTCCTTGAATTATTTTTTTATGACAATCAAGTACTATTAACAAGTTTTTTCATCCATAGGAACGATTAAACTGAATTAAAAATGAAAGAGGAATTTTTTAGATCTAAAGTATAAAAAATTTATTTCTTGATACTTAATTTTCTACGCAAGAACTAAAAGATGAAATTAAGAAAAATAACATTTTCAATATTTGGATGTTCTGAAACTAATCGTCCTTCTTGCCAAAAAATGATCAATAGAAAAAAAAGAAAAATTTTTCGTTGGAAAACTAATTTTGTGACTCAGAAATATACTTGGGAGAGTAATAATTATCATGATTCGAGTAAAATTTTCTTCATTCTGTTTCATCTATATAATTAAGAGAATAAGGAAAATTTTGTCGCTGGCGTATTTATTTGATAAATTAAATTTAGTATCATTGGAAAGATATTGACCTGAATTTGTGCCTTTAAATATTTCATATGCTTTTCAGCGATAGTTAATTTATTATGATAAGTTTTTGAGGCAGTTATAAATAGATTCAAATTTCGCGATAAACATCATTCAGAAAATCTTGACAAGAATTTTTGCCTTTTTATAGTTTTATATATTTTTCAGTGATATAAGTAATCAATTTTTTATTCTAAGTTTTTGGAGCAGTTTTGAATAGTTTGTTGGTTCTATAAATTTGTTCCTTCACATTTGTCTATTAAATTATTTGTGATTATTGATTATTAATATTATTTTCAAAATTTATTTCAAAAAGTACCTAAATTATGTATAGTGTAATTTGAAATATAAAAAAATCAGTAAGCCAAAGTTTTTTTTATTCATAATTTGTAAATCTCGATAGTCGCATAGTGACTGCAGGTTGCTAGTTAATATTAATGTAATAAAAAGTTATCTAAATAAATAGTCACAATATAATATATTTAAAATTTTAGTACACCAGATTATTTTTTATTAGTTTTTCTATTAAGATAAAAATTAAATCGCTTTTAGATACTAAGCATATTTTTAACACAAGTTCATTATTTCTTAATCAGTAGTTGATGAATTAATAATCAAAACGCGATTTGTCACACAGATATCTAATTGAGAAACGTAAGAAGAATTATTTTTATTATTATCGTAAATAAAACAAGTTCAAGCTATATTATGTGAAATAAAAAGTTAAAGGTAATTAATTATTCATAAGCATAAAGATAAAGTGCCCTATTATTTTTTTCAAATATTATTTCTAATAAAAAATATTTTCATTAAACTTATTTGTTATCACCTTTTAAATAAAATGCATTTTAAATCTTCTTCACAACAGAACTACTGTAATATGTTTGAAATTCTTCACTTTTATTTTTAAAAACAAATTAATTATCATTAGTAATTTCCATAAACTTAAATAACTTGTTATCTTTATAATTGTAAACTTGAATTTTTTACTCATTAAAACAATGAACTATACATAAAAAAATTACAAGGTGCTGCACACAATGGATCATTTAATTCTAAATTAATTATTTAATCATATATAATTAGAATCAAGTGTCGATAATAGTGTTATTAAAAATTATTTTCTTTTTATATATATATACATATATTTTTATTATTTTTTGAAATAATATTATTTAATTGTTCTTATATAACAGCTAGAAGAAAAAATATCTCACCGCTTAAAATTTTCCACTGAACAGTTAATAAAATAAAAATAGTTCGATATTTTTTAGTATTAAATAAAAATAAAATAAAATATTTTCCTCGAGCTACCAGAAAAAAAAAAAAAAAAAAACATCAAATTAAGATAAAAAAAGATGATAGAATAAAAAATTGCACTCATACATATAATTGTTTTTGTATTATTCTCAACATTAAACATTATTTCGTAATCATGATTCCGAGGCCATAAAAAAACAGCGACTGGTACCGCGTGTATCTACAGGATGTCGCGCTTCCTCAAGTACAATCTTATCAAAAATCGTTTAATTTTATCAATTATTTAAACTCTCAAATTATCAATTAAGCTGTTAATCAATCAATCTATCAATTTATTACAATTATTATTATCCTATACTGTAAAAGAGTTAATTTATAATAAGCTTTTGGATTTCTCATAATCCAAATTCAACAAAATTAGTTTTATTTAATCGCAAAAAGCTATCACATCTACCTGTTTAACTGCTCTCATTGTTATGTCAACGAATTACATCACACCTGCACCGAGATTATTTATTACACACAAGATCCACCTATCTTCCTAATTGTAATTGTAACATGCGATTACGAAACATTTGTTTTATTTATTTTATTTATTCGGCACAATTGTTTTTGTGCACACAATTACATTCGTAATTTTATCCCACAGAGATTATTTATGTAAATAAAATAAAGTAACAAGTAAAAATGAATCATCATCTGGGATCCTAAAGATTTCCCGATAAAAACTATTCATATGTTCAAGGTAAATTGAGAAAATAAATATATTTATTTTAATAATTAATAATATCGATAAGATTAATAATACTAAAGTTAGCCAACGTTTTTAATTTTTTGATTTTTTTTTAATAATTAATTTAGAATGAAAAAATATTTTTTTTAAATTGCACTTACAGTTTTTGATGAAAATTAATTTAGCAGATATTTAATAATTTTTAGAACTTTTGTTAACAAATAAATTGTGGCAAAAAAAATAAGAAAAAAAAATTGACATGTAGAAATTTAAAAAAATTAAAAATGCAATTTTTTTTAAATAATTTTTTAGAATTAATTTAATTGTTAAATAAAATTAAAAATTGTTCATGTGACAGCTAACTTTAATGTCATCAGTTTTTGAAGTTTTTTACAAATGAAATTTTTTCAATAAAAAAATTCTAAAAATTTTTAGATGTCAGCTAACTTAAGGGGGAACACCACTGTGACGATCGAAAAAAAGAGGTGATTTTCGGGAATTTTTTTGACAGGGAAAATAAAGGAATTTGGGAATCGGATTTTTTTTATTTTATTAAAGGTACATTAAAGATGATTACGCTAAATTTTTATTAAAAAATATTTAATTATTACAAAGTTATTAACAATCTCGTCGAGCACTGGAGAAAATTTACCCCCTCCACGGTCGGTTCGATAACTCAAAAACAAATCATCTGAAATTAAAAACTCAAATTGCTTTTTAATCAGTAAGGATGTAGTTATCGTCGCACGTACGGAATTAAAAAAATTTTTATTTTAAAGATTTTTTTAGCCGGGTTAAAACAAAAAAAAAAAAACAGTAAGAATAGGGAGAAAATTTTCAATCAGTCGCCATTTTTTTTTAAATTAAAATTTTCAAAATTCCATACGTGCGACGATAACTACATCCTTACTGATTAAAAAACAATTTG